CATCACCTACAGATACAAGTATATTAATAGATGGTTCATCACCTACATAGACCATACATGTATATAAATAGATGGCTCATCACCTACAGTTACAAGTATATAAATAGATGGTTCATCTCCTACAGATACATTTATATAAATAGATGGTTCATCCCCTACATATACCATACATGTATACAAATAGATGGTTCATCACCTACAGATCCATGTGTATAAATAGATGGTTCATCACTCGCAGATACATGTGTATAAATAGATTGTTCATCACTCACAGATACATTTATATAAATAGATCGTTCATCACCTACAGATACATGTTTATAAATAGATGGTTCATCACTCAGATACGTGGATATAGATATATGGTTCATCACTCACACATACCTGTATATAAATAGATGGTTCATCCCCTACATATACCATACATGTATACAAATAGATGGTTCATCACCTACAGATCCATGTGTATAAATAGATGGTTCATCCCCTACATATACCATACATGTATATAATTAGATGGTTCATCACCTACAGATCCATGTGTATAAATAGATGGTTCATCCCCTACAGATACATGTGTATAAATAGATTGTTCATCACTCACAGATACATTTATATAAATAGATCGTTCATCACCTACATATACCATACATGTATATAAATAGATGGCTCATCACCTACAGTTACAAGTATATAAATAGATGGTTCATCACTCAGATACGTTTATATAGATATATGGTTCATCACTCACACATACCTGTATATAAATAGATGGTTCATCTCCTACAGATACATTTATATAAATAGATGGTTCATCACTTACAGATACAGGTATATAAATAGATTGTTCATCACCTACAGATACAAGTAGATAAATAGATGGTTCATCACCTACAGATCCATGGATATAAATAGATGGTTCATCACCTTCAGATACATGTATATAAATAGATTGTTCATCACCTACAGATACAAGTATATAAATCGATGGTTCATCACCTACATATACCATACATGTATATAATTAGATGGTTCATCACCTACAGATCCATGGATATAAATAGATGGTTCATCACCCACAGATCCATGTATATAAATAGATTGTTCATCACTCACAGATACATTTATATAAATAGATCGTTCATCACCTACAGATACATGTATCTAAATAGATGGTTCATCACCTACAGATCCATGTGTATAAATAGATGGTTCAACCCCTACAGATACATGTATATAAATAAATGGTTCATCACCTACAGATACATGTTTATAAATAGATTGTTCATCACCTACAGATACAAGTATATAAATAGATGGTTCATCTCCTACAGATACATTTATATAAATAGATGGTTCATCCCCTACAGATACAAGTATATAAATCGATGGTTCATCACCTACATATACATGTTTATAAATAGATGGTTCATCACTCCCAGATACATGTATATAAATAGATCGTTCAACACCTACAGATACATGTATATAAATAAATGGTTCATCACTCACAGATACAAGTATATAAATAGATGGTTCATCTCCTACAGATACATGTTTATAAATAGATTGTTCATCACCTACAGATACATGTTTATAAATAGATGGTTCATCACCTACAGATTCATGTATATAAATAGATGGTTCATCCCCTACAGATACAAGTATATAAATCGATGGTTCATCACCTACATATACCATACATGTATATAATTAGATGGTTCATCACCTACAGATCCATGTGTATAAATAGATGGTTCATCACTCGCAGATACATGTGTATAAATAGATGGTTCATCCCCTACATATACCATACATGTATATAATTAGATGGTTCATCACCTACAGATCCATGGATATAAATAGATGGTTCATCACCTTCAGATACATGTGTATAAATAGATGGTTCATCACTCAGATACGTGTATATAGATATCTGGTCAATCCCTCACAGATACATGTATATAAATAGATTGTTCATCACCTACAGATACAAGTCTATAAATAGATGGTTCATCACCTTCAGATACATGTGTATAAATAGATGGTTCATCACTCCCAGATACATGTATATAAATAGATAGTTCATCACCTACAGATACATGTGTACAAATAGATGGATCATCACCTACAGATACATGTATTACCATACATGTATATAAATAGATGGCTCATCACCTACAGTTACAAGTATATAAATAGATGGTTCATCTCCTACAGAACCATGTATATAAATAGATGGTTCATCCCCTACATATACCATACATGTATACAAATAGATGGTTCATCACCTACATATACATGTTTATAAATAGATGGTTCATCACTCCCAGATACATGTATATAAATAGAAGGTTCATCACTCACAGATACATGTATATAATAGATGGTTCATCACTCACAGATACATGTGTATAAATAGATGGTTCATCACTCAGATACGTGTATATAGATATATGGTTCATCACTTACAGATACATGTATATAAATAGATGGTTCATCACCTACAGATACATGTATATAAATAGATGGTTCATCACTTGAGATACATGTATATAAATAGATGGTTCACCCCCTACAGATACATGTATATAAATAGATGGTTCATCACCTACAGATACATGTTTATAAATAGATGGTTCATCACCTACAGATACATGTGTATAAATAGATGGTTCATCACTCAGATACGTGTATATAGATATCTGGTCAATCCCTCACAGATACATGTATATAAATAGATGGTTCATCCCCTACAGATACATGCATATAGATAGATGGTTCCGGTCAGCTGGAAGGAGGGGCAGATAACGGCAATTCACAAAAAGGGGGATAAGAAAACGCCAGGGAACTATAGACCAGTAAGTCTCACCAGTATAATATGTAAAATCATGGAGAAAATTATTAGAACAAGAATAATGGACCACTTGGAGAAAAACGATTTATTAAATAAGCACCAATACGGGTTTGTCAAAGCAAGATCGACGGTACTACAACTACTAAAGGTCATTGATAACTGGACGGAATACTCGACCAAGGAGGATCAATCCAAACTTTGTATCTAGATTTCATGAAGGCATTTGATACTGTACCACATAAGCGCCTAATAGCTAAATTATATTCATACGGACTATCACCTGAAATTATAAATTGGGTGAAATGTTTTATATCAAATAGGAAACAAAGGGTATCAGTAAATGGCGAAGCATCAAAATGGATGGAAGTAACCAGTGGAATCCCTCAGGGCAGTGTCCTCAGACCATCATTGTTCGTGATATACATCAATGACCTACCAGAACTGATAAAATCATCAACATTTTTATTCGCGGATGACACTAAAATGTATAATCACAGCGAAAATATCAACCTACAGGAAGACCTGGACCAGCTCCAAAAATGGTCAGATACATGACTACTGAAATGCAAAGTACTTACCCTAGGAAAAAATATCAATACCGCGCCGCTATACTTGTATAAAGACACCGATGAAGGGAGAATCAAAGTCACACTAGAAAACATTAACAAAGAAAAGGATCTCGGAGTAATTACAGACAACAAACTTAAATTCACTGATCATACACATGAATCGGTCAACAAGGCAAATAGGATAATGGGGACAATAAGAAGAACATATACATATTTAGATGCAACAACTTTTTGTCTCTTGTATAAATCGCTCGTGAGACCACATCTGGAATACGGAGCATGCATTTGGAATCCATACCTTCAAAAGGACATTAACGAAATTGAAAATGTGCAGAGGAGAGCAACAAAACAGATACCAGGAATGAAAGAACTAAGTTATCAAGCCAGATTGAAGCTTGACTGGATAAGCACTGGGGAAAACCAGAATGCTTTTATAACCATGAAATTGATAATAACGAACTTATTAACTGTCGGGGTGTCAGCTTAGAGTTTGACGATACACCTGATCTGGATATATAGGCATATGCCTGCGTCCAGTACTATTATATATTTATATTATTATATAAATAGATGGTTCATCACCTTCAGATACATGTATGAATTCAGAGTGAATATAACTTAACTATGTTCTAAAGAATTTTCAAAAGTTTCTCCTTTTGAACTATAAATTTAAGAGGGAACTTACTTTTAACAATTTCAAATCTTGACGCCCTAGGGATGCATTTATTCTGGTTTGGTTGAATTACAATCACTGATTCTTGAGAAGTGGATTCAAACTTGACATTGACAGAAGACAGGGGATGTATATTACTCCTTGGTAAGGACACAATACAAAAGCAGAATGAAAAGTGAAAAATTATTTATCTGATGAGTTAACTATGTTTAGTCAAGGAACAAAGAATAATTTGTTTATTATGTCTAAAATAGGCAAGTGCCTGGAGAGAGCAGATCGTCGATGAAGTATATATAAGCCAAGGCTTTTGACTAAAGACACCATATCTACGTATTTCAGTGACACAAACAACAGTTCCATATTATTGGTAGGTACCCTCTACACTAGATTTGCTACACTTTCAGAACAAAATCACAATTTCACTGTTTAGAGACTACCATAAATAAAATCCAAAAAGTGGTCTCTTAGTACATAACAGGGTCAAATCACAATGAAATCACAACAATGGAGAAGATACTTAGACGGGCTTCTTAACACAGTCTATTTTAATGGAGGTGGTCACATGACCAGGCCTTTCTGTGCATGACCTTGCCTATGAATTGTTGACATCATGGGTAAAAAGTAACTAAATATGAAAAAAAAAGTTGATTTTGATTAAGTGATTTTTCTCTCTTTCACCAGTAAGATTAGTGGAAGAAATTTACACAAACATGACACTGACCTTGATTGGTGACCTTGACCGTTTCACTGTCTTGACATCTTCCAATAAAGGTTGTTCCCTAGACACAAAACCTCCCTACCTGTTGTGATAACAGGTATTACATAACAATATGACCTGCATAATACACCTGTTAGTATGGTGACCTACATATATCATCACCATGGTAATCTGTCAACTTACAATTGTGATGAGGTGTCCCAGGGTGGAGTACACAGGAGGGTTAAAGGGCGTTAGCACAACAGTCGTCCGGGCGCCACTAGAGGGCAGCACTGGACCTGCCTTCAGGGCAGGGGCTAGTACGGAGCCCGGGTAGGAGAGAGCAGAATGACACGATTCCATCTCTACCTTAGCAGAGGAAGACCGGGTTGTACCGGTGTTCTGCACACAACAGACTCTGGAGCTCTTCTGACGGAGATCAGCCTCCTCTCTATATATACTAGGAATGTCTGGCTCACCGCTATAGGGCTGACGGTGGGAGGTGGGGTGTACGGGGGAGGGGTGATCAACTGGTTATATCAACACAATACACGCACAGACATGTATCAACACTTGGAGATATATATACTTACTTTTTATCCTTCCGAGGAGTATAGAAATGATTTCAAATATTCTGTCAACGAAGATAACTAAACAGTATGACACATGGTACCATAATAATTCAATGTTTAAAAATATTTAAATATTTATATTTAATGTTTTGTTGAAAATTTGTGAGTTTCAGTTGTTGGGTTAATAGATAATTTTCCTCAGATAAGAAGATTCCAGTTTGTAGATTTTATCTCTGCATTCCTGTGTTAACACAGCCAGTCTAACTGACAGGCCAGATTATCAGGGTAATTAATCACTGATGGAGAACATGTTATTTTGTCATTTCTGTTAAGATGAAAAGAAACAGCTTGCTCCAATATTTCAAACCTGATTACCAATGCTCTACCTTTTTGCTATTTACTATCTTAGTCTCAACCTAATCTCAGTTTTTTTGGCTGTTTTCCCTTCAGTTTATTGCTCTTCTATCAAACAATTTACACCTACTTTAAATTTATGAAAAACTTAAGCATTAGAATTGTTCAATTATGTCTAACAAGTAAGGAACCATCACAGCAATTTCCATTTTGACCTACAAGTAAAGAACCATTACAAAAATTCCATTATATCTAACAAGTAAAGAACCATCACAGCAATATCCATTGTGTCTAACAAGAACCATTACAATGATTTCAATTTTGTCAACAGGATTATAACAATTACAATGATTTCCATTGTGTCTTCAAGTATAAAACCTTCACAAAAATTTCCATTGTGTCATCAAGTAAAGAATAGTCATAACAATAACTATTCTATCAAATTAAGAACCAATGTGATAAACAAGTTATGAACCATTAAATTGATTTTTATTTTAACAAAATTTTGTTAAAAATGTTCTCCATTGTGAAAACAAACAGTGTGTGTATGAATTGAAGTTGATGTACTGCAGGACAGGAGGAAAGAAAAGGGAAACTGAAATGTGACAAATGTGAGGAAGCAATAACAAATGAACAGAGAGTATAACAAGAACACAATGAATAGAACATAATCATCCGGTCACCGTGGAAATAGAGCCTAATCATCCGGTCACCGTGGAAATAGAACCTAATCATCCGGTCACCGTGGAAATAGAACAAAATCATCCGGTCACTGTGGAATGTGACCTAAGAAGATCAGATAAATTCCTCTTTTACCATGTACTACAACTTCAGAAAGTGTGCGAAAGGTGATGCACTTGAAATTGGAAAGTTGTGGAGAGGAAGTCACCAGCCAATCAGATTGAAGGAAAAGACATTGACTGCATGACCATGACCTTTGACAGGCCGATACCTATTTCTTACCAACATGACAATCTCATGGCATTTGGTGAATTTGGTGAAAGTAGAACAAAAGAGGCACCTATTTGAAAACCCATTTACAGTACCATGTGTCCATTTCGTCAAATAAACACTCATCAGTGGTATTCAAGGTCAAAAGGATGACAAATCCATATCTACAGTGTACTGAAATGTATGTCGAATTCAGTGGACAGGGAAAGGTGCCTAAAACAACTCTATTAACATTACACCTTTTGGCAACCAAATTAACAGATAATTTATTCCGAAACTAATGAACTATTTTGTGTAAACAATACCAGAATAGATTCCAGTAACAAGTCTAAGGCCAACCTTGAGGACTGATAGACCAACATGTAACAGCTAGCAACCATCAGCAGAATAAAACTGAAGGAATCAACCTAAAATGTCCTTGACCTTTGATGGAATGACCCATCTACTATGACCTCATTCAGGTTGGTGATGCTGAACTGCTGACTGACAGATACACAGACAGGATGACAACCAAACATGCTCACTGGAGGTAGCTAGCATATAAATGAAAAACACACCAAAACCACAATGAGAAACAGCCTAAATCAGACTCTTAATAAGAGAGCATCTGTTCACTTTTATCTAATCCCCCTACCCTGCCCTACCAGACCTACTCCTGAAGGCTCTTAATTATAGGAACATTACTAAGCTTTTATTTATTCCACCAACAGGTGAATTTTGTATATTTTTAGCGTCGGATGGCCATGGTAACTGAAATGTCAAAAGTGTGAAGATTACAGGAACAACAGGAACCAATAAAGCTGATCTGTTACAGACTAACTATCTACGTCAATCATAAAACATCTCAGTCTCACACAATTATAAAACAGATGGGTGCTGTAGAATCAGTTAATTTTGTGGGGTTAAAATTTCGGTTTTCAAAAACTGGTCTGTTTCAAGGACATTATATTTCGCTGATTTCTGATTTTGCCCTATTTATATCATACCAAATTTATGTATTCGTGGGGATTTAATTTTGTGGATTTTTGTTATCCACGAAATAAACAACATTTAATGTCCCACGAAAATTTATGATTTTACAGTAGTTAAGACACTGGAAAGTGCAAACAAGGGCACATTCAACTTCTCAAACAGGTCAACACAATTATAGAACAGATAAAACAAAATACTAATAACTAGAAATGGCAAACAAGGGCACATACAACTTCTCAAACAGGTCAACACAATTATAGAACAGACAGAATAAAATACTAATAACTAGAAAGGGCAAACAAGGGCACATATAACTTCTCAAACAGGTCAACACAATTATAGAACAGATAAAACAAAATACTAATAACTAGAAAGGGCAAACAAGGGCACATACAACTTCTCAAACAGGTCAACACAATTATAAAACAGATAAAACAAAATACTAATAACTAGAAACGGAAAACAAGGGCACGTTCAACTTCTCAAACAGGTCAACACAATTATAGAACAGATAAAACAAAATACTAATAACTAGAAAGGGCAAACAAGGGCACATACAACTTCTCAAACAGGTCAACACAATTATAGAACAGATAGAATAAAATACTAATAACTAGAAAGGGCAAACAAGGGCACATATAACTTCTCAAACAGGTCAACACAATTATAGAACAGAAAAAACAAAATACTAATAACTAGAAAGGGCAAACAAGGGCACATACAACTTCTCAAACAGGACAAACCAATTATAAATACTACTAAACGAGAAACGGCAAACAAGGACACATACAACTTCTCAAACAGGTCACCACAATTATAGAACAGATATAATAAAATACTAATAACTGGAAACGGCAAACAAGGGCACATCCAACTCCTCAAACAGGTCAACACAATTATAGAACAGATAGAATAAAAAACTAATAACTAGAAAGGGCAAGCAAGGGCACATACAACTTCTCAAACAGGTCAACACAATTATAAATACTACTAAACTAGAAACGGCAAACAAGCTGGCACAACCTCCCAGATAGCCCCACACAATTAAAGAACATATAGAATATTATACCAAAATGACAAAAAAGGCAAGTAGGGCAAAACTAAGTTGGCTGGGTCAATCATCTGAGTTTGACAAAATAAAGTTTGGAGATCCTGTATTTTGATATTAGTCTGGCTGTTGATTTTATGCTCATAAAAGGAATGTACTCCCTTCCACCAACCTACTCCTCATTACATTTCAGTAGAGTGTTATTATTACCAGATTCCTGTTTCTAAAAAATTGCAATAAAAACGTTGCTTTCCAGACTTGTATTTTGTTAAATGCTATTTAATGCAATAAAGGTAATACAACAGAGTCTATAGAAAGCTTCACCAACCCACAGTAAATATCCTACAGGTCCTATCATCCTCCCTAAGCTTAATATTCTATTTTGAGACAAAGTCAAACCATACATATATACTAGTAAACCAGTACCGTATTCACTGTAATCAGCGCTCCTTCCCCTATAAGTGCCCCCATCGATTTTGATAGGAATTGAAACTATCTAGACTCCCCTCTCAGACCTGACCAGACCCAATCAATAATTAATAGGAATGACACTTTAAAGCACAGATTAAAAGGATGAAAAGAAATATTTCCAAAGCTCCAGAAACTCTGGAATATGTATAATGTCCTTCGGTGATAACAACTAGTTGAAGTTGCAACATTTTTTCTATCACAACTTACATTTTGCTTTCCTAATGAACTTTAAGTCTATTTCTTTAAGTGCCCTGGACATCACTTACAGTAAATACGGTACCTATGGCCATGTGGGTGAATAGTTAGCTTGGCTCCTGTCTGAGAACCACCACAGCTCCACTGGATTGTAGTCAGGTGCTAACAAACCTACTGCCAATATTTCAAAATTTCAATGGGAAGAAATTGTGGCAACGTTTCAGAAGAGACCAAATCAGTACTTCAGAAAAAAACCTTTTTGACATATTAATACAGTAGTACTGTAAAATGCCAGAGTTTTAGCTGTTTTAGGCAATTAATTATATAAGTTCTTAAGAAAAAATAAATTTTAGTGAATTCAGATTTGAAAATTTAGAAACAATGGTGAAAATTATGGAGTCATCCAAGAAAATAGAAAGACATGGCATGTTTGTAGGACTCCTATTAAAAGGCAACAGCTAGATCTGATCGCTTGGTTAAAAGTTAATGGGTTGATTGAAATACTGGTCAATGATTGGTTGAAAACTTTAGATAAAACCCCAGGAAGTCTCTATTGGGAAAAATTATACACTGTACTGCATTGGTTTAAAACATAATTCACTAATAAAAAATAAAAAATAAAAATAAATAAAAAATAAAAATAAAAATAAAAGGGTGATGAAACTATTTAAGATGTATTTGAAGTACATCAACTTTTATGAATAAAACCCTCTGTTAAGGTTACAGAAGTAAAAGTCCTACAAAAACAAAGTTGTTTGTGTTAAATTCTCATCCACAGATACAGAAGGAGTCTATATAGGTAGGGAGGGGCCAGGATACATACAACTTTTCCTGGCGACTGAAGAAATCTCTCAAACTGAAAATATTCCTCTTACAGTCTAACCTT